GGCAAAGAGGTACATCTCTCCGGCAGTGATCAACATTGAGGCCCTCACCGAGCCCACCGAGTATCCCTACCTCCGACGATGAGTCTTTTCAGTGGACGAACTACCTACATTGTGGGAGGAGTTTTGCTCCATGGTTAACTACCGTGTCATGTGCCTTGGATGGTCGTGCTCAGAGCTTGCTGGCTACAGGTGGCATTTTGTCACGAAGCCTCAGTCTCAGAATGTACGTGGGCGTGGGTCACGACACCAGAGAAGATCAGTGAAAAGAGAGATTGAGAGAGACTGGCCAGGGGGAAGAGTGAGGACTCTTGAGAGGTGCTGACCACGCTCGTTTATGTGTACTTTCTGAGATTATTATGAGTTCTCATTCTTCCCTCACTCAATCGCCCATGTCTTTGCTCGAGTCAGTCAGTCTTATTTTCTGCATTATTCTTGCTTGATGATTGCCTCCGTGGATGTTTTATCACAGTTCTCAAAATCAGATTGACATAATCGATGCATGCATAGCACCCCATAACTTTATGATTATTAATTGCATAATTCTCTGTTGTTCCGAATCAAAATAAAAGATTCCTAAGACCGGGGACCGGCAAAGACCGCAATTGAAGGGTCTCGCTCGAAGCCGGACGCACACAATAGGAAGGGATTTGCATTATTTAATTTATTTTATTTATTGCAAGCACATACAAAATCTTGCGTGACAGCCTGTTGGATTTCCGGTCGCCCGACACGGCTCGACTGGAAAAAAGTGCGACACCGGGTCGGTCTGGCTTTGGCGGTGGTGGGATAGGATTTGGAATCAATTGGGCACTACCATCCCCTGGCCCTGGGAATGGAAAGCCCTCCTCCTAGAATTTTGGTACCCGGATCAAACATATGAGTTCACAGTTAACTTGTTCACAATCGGTAGAAGAGCAATCACTTGGGCAATCTGGTTAAGAAGGTGTACCTATGAAATGGATGGCGCTCGCCTCGATGGCCCAAAATTCACTGAAAGTATTAAACTACATATTCAAACAGATCTGTCTATTAAATGGGAAAATGTAAAAGAAAAGATTCATCATCTATCATTACAAAATGAGATATGGTTTCATATTAAACAGTTCAATCGAAGCTGGCTTGGGGGAGACCAAGGGGGGAAGGTTGGGGCAGGTGGGGGGGGAAGGAGCACATGAGAGTTCACAAGGGTCTTTCCAAAGGAATATCGATTGCTATTGGAGTGCTGTTGATTCTGCTATACCTTTAAGACCATTATCCGATTTCCCGGACCCCTTTCCCCTACCAGAATTTTGTCTGGTTCCCTCTTCGTGATATGGGTAAGGTTAAAGGAACGTCCCTTCTGATTCATCATGACAAAGGGTATGATTCTGTACTTGGTTGTCAATGATTTTTGGCGTCCGGGGTGGGTGAAGAGGCACAAAGTTTCTATTCTCAACTCCTAAGGGACGCTGGGCTTGGTTCTCAACATGTTCTGTCTGGTTACTCCGGGTAGACTGTGAGGACCCCGACCTCAATTTTCTCAAATATCAATATCAGCCTTGGGCACAGGAGATGGGTGTTGCGTCATTATCATCATCATCAGCAGCAGCATCAGGTGCCAGTAGTGGCAGCAGCAGTATCAAGGGTAATCATCAGCTGCCGTCATCACCATCTTCATCGTCATCATCACCATCTCCGGCTTTATCATCGTCGTTATCATCATCACTATCACCTTTATCGGCGGTTATCATCATCATCATCATCATCATCATCATCAGTATGGGAGCTGGAGTGCTTTTCAACCAGAGCATCCTTTGGGCCCAGCGGAGTGGGTATGGCAAACATGCGCCATCATCATCATCATCATCAGCAGCAGCAGCAGCAGCAGCATTACTCACATCACCATCATCATTATGAGCATCTTCATTGGTGCGTCATCATCATCATCATCATCATCATCATCATCATCATCATCTGCATTACTGACATCATCATCATCACCATTATCATCATCATCATTATGAGCATCATCATTGGTGCGTCATCATCATCATCATCATCATCATCATCATCATCATCATCAACATCAGCATCATCATAAACATCATCATCATTATCGACATCAGCATCATTATTGCCATCATCATAATCATCATCATAATCATCATCATAATCATCATCATTATTATCATTATGATGATGATTATTATCATCATTATTAGTTTGTTATCATTAGATGTTGCTCTTCAAGGCATCGTTTGCCTTTCACATCAGCAGGTGAGTGGGTCGTTACCATCATCCTCATTTTCATTATCTTCAGGGTGCTGTCCTTTGTTATCAACAAAATCCTACAAAATCCAAGCGAATGACATGTGAGGGGGACGGGGAGAGCTCAGCTCTGCAGGGGTTTCATTAGGCAGGTGGTGAAACCCTGGAGGGGGCATGGGCAGATTGTGAGGAATACTCTTTTCTAGGGCTGGGCATCAAATCCCAGCGGGGGCAGATGAGGGTAAAGGGATAGATAGGGGAATGGAGAGAATAGAGGAAGGAAGGGAGAGGGGGAATTTTTTCTGAATCATCTCATCATCAAAATCAACGTCATCATCATCATCATCATCTATGTTATATCATGCTTTTTGGTGTGCTGTAATTCTCGGTTGTATCTGGCATCCTTCCTTAATCAGGATATAGGATTTCAGAGATGGTCGAATCTGGACCGATATCTACAGAGTTGCTTTGTCTTTGTCCCTGGTTTGGCGATGCCAGAACGACGCTGGCCGGAGCTGGGGCGTTGCCCTATAACCTGCAATTGGCAGGAGTGTGAGGCCTTGTAGAGAGATCTGGGGATTTGTCGAGGGAGGAAGGCAATCCAGTGGCGAACTGGGGGGGCTGCCCTGACAACCTATGGGGCCAAGGATAGTCTAGGTGGCGAGGACAGGTCAGCTATGGTAGACATTGGTTAGGAGGGTATTGTCTCTGAGATGTAATGTCCTGGTCCAGGGAGGGCTGGGAGGGTTCTAGGATTAGGAGGCCAGAAGTGTTGTTATAGCATAGTCTTCTATATTTTCTATATACTAATCATCATATTCATCATCATCATCATCATCATCATTAGTATCATCATATGATTAATGTTATATTAAGCTTTTTGGTGTTCTGAAATTTTGGCAGCTAGTCTTCTCCCACATTCGGGATATAGGACTTCTGAGATGGTTGAACCTGGACTGATATCTACTGAGTTGCTCTTTCTGTGCCCTTGGTTTGCCGATGCCAGAACGACGCAAGCCGGAGCTGGGGCGGTGCCCTGCAACCTGTAAATGTCAGGAGTGTGAGGCCTTGTAGAGAGATCTGGGGTTTGCTGAGGGTGGAAGGCATTCCAGTGGTCAACCGGGGGGGGTTGCAAGGAGGCGAGAAGAGATCAGCTATGGTTGACGTTGGTTAGGTTGGTTCTGTCTCTGAGGCACAATGTCTTGGTTCAGGGAGGGCTAGGAGTTGTTCTAGGATTAGGAGGCCAGAATAGCTGATATAGCATAATCTTCTATTTAAAAAAAAAAAAAAAAAAAATCCATATATTTGAATCATCTGTTACGATCCTGGTCACTTCCCAAGTGCAAATTCACAATGAAAGACAATGCCAACCAATTGCGAAAGAAATGAAAGCACTTGCAAAGAGATAAAGACCAGAGGAGAGGTAAAGAAGAAGAAGAAGAAGAAGAAGAAGAAGAAGAAGAAGAAGAAGAAGAAGAAGAAGTAAACCAGCAAGACCAATGACAATTCCCCCTTCTCTCTCCACCTTCCTCCTTCCTCCTTCTCTTCACCAATCTTATTCTTCTCTCAATAATAATAATAACAATGAATGGATGAACCAGAATCAATGTCCGAAGTTCCCCCTTACTGCTGACTCAACTCACAACAACAACAACAACAACAAGTCCACCATGGCTATGTCTTCCCTCCTTCAACCTCCTCTCTCATGCATAGGCCATGGCGGACTACTGGGTGGCAGCTATGGTGCTGCCCTGATGTCCAGAAGACAACCCAAAGCAGCTATGCCGCTGCTTGACTTGGTCCGCTATGCCTGACTCTGCCTTGAGCTGCTCTGGTGCARCGCTACCCCAACTGGGGCCTTCCMGATGCAGCGCYCAACAAGGTGATGAAGAYGGTGTCCACCATAGCCARGTAAGTGCCCTACCACTCTCCTACCATGCCCCCTTCTTCCTCCTCCTCAAGCTGGGGTGCTYGCCATAGCCAGGCTGAGCCCCAGCGGACCTTCACCTCCAAGCAGYGCTGCTTCAGTCCAGCGCTGCRCTCCAGCAGCAYGTCGCCAATCCTTGCATACCGCAAATGAGGAAGAGCTCTYCGCTCTTCCTGAAGATATAGYGGCCTACCGGCCTCCTGGGCGGTGACTTCCTAGGCCAAGCGGCCTCCCAGCAACCGGTACCTCCTCCCTTTTGGAGGGAAACATCATTGCAGGCTCGGTTATTGTCCGCACAGGCCCTAGTTGGACTGGTACCGGCCTACCTCTAACCTACCGCTACTGGGCCTCTAAAAATGCCAACTTTTTGTCTTCTTCTGCTCGGCCTACCTGCTACTTGAGTGTTTTTCCCCAGCTGCTCTAAGTGTCGTGGGCCTACTCCCCGCTACCGGCGTGTTTACCCCCTGCAACCCTTCAAAATCACGGCCACAGGCAAGTACCGGCCCGGTGGGCCTTGCAACCAACAAGTACCCTTGCGGGTCACACCGCATACCCAACCAGCAAGCACTCCGACAGACATGCAAACCAGCAGGCACGCACACACACACAACCGGCAAGCACTCAGACAGGCATGCAAACCAGCAGGCACGCATACAYACAGACTTGGAACCACAGCAGAATGCGGGAATCACAGCAAGGCATTCATTCCAGTGACAAATCCCAGAAATCAGCAGTGTTCTCAGTCTGTGTTTTTGGTGGGTCATTACATTACTCCCCTCTCGAGAGCGAGGTCCCTTCGAGCGAGTAACTCAGTCAGAGTCGGTACAAAATGCATCGTAGGAGTACATCAGAAAAAGAGACTTGGTCAATCCATGAGGAGTCATTGGTGCTACGAACTTAGTGGTCTGTCCCTCGGTGATCTGTCTTTTGTAAGCGTTCACAACACGGGGAGCACTTTTTAGCAGCTCTTTCCGGTCGATCCAGAAGAATTCAGTCAACGGGTGATAGAGGAAGTGAACCTTATACTGTATGTTCCTCCCTCTGCCCTCGTGAGATACGATTCTTTCTATCTCATGGCCGCCGTCGATAGGGCGAGGTATCATCGGGTCCCGGAAAGGAAAGGTCTCATCATCAATGTGTGGGAATAGTTTGGACGCATGAAAGACCGGATACGTGTGCAGATGAGGAGACACGTCAATCACAAATGAAGGGCCAAAGTCATCCCCGACTACCTTCAGAATCTGCCAAGGGTCGTAGTATAGTGGAAGAAGCTTCCTTGATATGCCCTCTTCATCAGAAAACTCGGACATTTTGACCCAAACATAATCCCCTACTTTGAATTTTTCTTCTTTGCGCAGCTTATTGGTATGTTTGATCATGGCATGCTGACGCTTGTTCATAGCTGTTGTAGCAGCTTTGAGCAAGCGTGCGTATTTGGCATTGTAGCCAGGCATGCCGGGCATCAGACCAGGTGACCGTTCGGGGAACAGATAGGAGAGGGGATTACGCATCGACCATCCATACTGCAATTGGTTTGGTGTCACACCAGTCGCAGAGTGAATAGAGTTGTTGTACAGCCCCTTCACCTTGTGCAATTCCTTGTCCCACGTGTTCTGATCTGGAACAATTAGTGCGCGAAGCAATTGGATGACAGTCTGGTTGATCTCCTCAACCAATCCGTTGGCTTCGGGGTGTCGACCAGAAGTCCTGTTCAGTTTGATGTCGTAGATCTGAGATGTGAAGTCTTTCCAATCTTTGCTGATGAATCTGGTGTCCCGATCACTCACAATAGTTTTCGGGACGCCAGACTGCAGAATGTACTGCTGATGGAATTCTTCTATGACAAGTTCAGTCGGGGCGTGAGGAGGGAGAGGAATCAAGTTCAGAAATTTGGAGAAGCGGTCCACAATGACCATGACTTGTGAATTTCCAGCCTCACTCACCTTTCCCATGTCTGTGAAGTCGATGGAAATTGACTCATCGGGTCCATCAGGAATGGGGAGAGGTCTCAGTAGGCCATAAGGCTTATGCCTGTGGACCTTGATTCTTTGGCATACTTGACATTCAACAATGAATTTCTAAGCAGATCCTTTCATTTCTGGCCAATCAAATTGCTGCAGAAGACTTCCATAAGTCTTCTCAAAGCCAAAATGTCCACTCCGACCATGTGCCAAATCCAAGAAATGAGTTCGGAGAGGCGCATGGTTGGGTACACACAAACGGTCAAACTTTCCATACCGGCGGAATACAAGACCCTCGCATTCATGAAAGTCAGACTGACTGTTAGGGTCATCCTTGAGCTGCTCAAGGATGGGACTGAGGTCCGGATCCTTGGCGGTGTGTTCAACCAGATCCTCCTTCAGTTTCCTTCGGAGGTTGTAGGAACCCACAAGGCAAGTCAAGAATTCAGGATGGCGGGACAATGCATCAGCAACCCGGTTATAACAACCTTTCTTATGTTTCAACTCAAAGCTATAGACATCAATGTCATGCAACCAGCGGGTCAATGTAGGAGAGAGTTCAGATTGTGTCTGAATCCACTCAAGGTCTGATGATCAGAATAGACCTTGAAGTGGCGACCCAAGAGGTAGTGTTTTCAATGTGCGAGGGCTTCGCGCAGGGCGTAAAGCTCACGCATATATAGCTACCTTATGGATGGGCATGCGTTTGCTGTAGTACTCGAGCAGACGCAGGCCATCACCATCATCTTGCTGCAGCACAACACCAATCCCGAACTGGCTCGCATCCGTAGTGACTACGAAAGTGAGGTTGGGATCGGCAATGCGACGCACAGGATGACTCACCAATGCCTCTTTCAAGAGAATTTGGGCACAAACTTCCGGTAATATGAGGCCAGACCAAGGAAAGAACGCAATTCGCATACGTTTGCCGGTTGAGGCCAATTTCGGATGACCTCAACCTTGGTTGCCTCCGGCTCAAGGCCGTTTGCAGACAACCGATGCCCAAGATAGATGACGCTGTCCCTCCCAAACTCAGATTTCTCCAAGTTGAGGTGCAACTGCGCCTCCTTGAGAACCTGCAAAACTTCCTCAAGGTGCTTGAGGTGCTCCTCCATGGTTTTGCTGAAGATCAAGGTATCATCAAGGTACACAACCACAAAACTGTTGAGTTGATGGCGAAGTACCTTGTCCATGAGGCACTGAAAGGTGGCTGGTGCATTCGTAAGAACGAAGGGCATAACGATAAACTCGTACAGCCCATCGCGTGTCTTGAATGCAATCTTATGCTGGTCACTCGGATCAACTTCAATCTGGCGATAACCAGATTTGAGGTCGATCTTGGAGAAGACCTTGCATCCACATGCCGCATCTAGCAGATCATCTATGCGAGGCAAAGGGTAAACATTCTTTCTTGTGATCCGATTGAGGCCACGGTAGTCAATACACATACGGAGTTTGCCTCCTTTCTTTGGCACAAACAAGACAGGTGCACCAAATTCAGACTCACTGGGCTTAATCCATCCACGGTCAATCATATCATCAATTTGCCGTCTCAACTCCTCCAACTCGCCTTGTCCCATACGGTAGACGCAGCCCTTTGGAGGAACACTCCCCTCTATTATCTCGATTTTGTGTTTGACCGGACGATCGGGAACTCCACGAGGTTCGGCCAAAACTTCAGGGAATCGATCCAATAGTTGGCGAATTTTTGTTGGGACTTCCGGTGGAGGATCATCCTCATCAGGAGAAAGAAAATTAGACTGAGAATTTACAGCAATTACAACCGGATTAGAAGTAGAAGGATTATTCACAGTAGAAGTAGATGGATTAGAAGTAGAGTTACTTAYCGAGGTAGAAAATGCAACAAAAGTAGAAGGCACATGGAGTGGTTTTACAAGGGCTATATGTACAAAATCAACTTCCTTGCGCCTGCGCACTGACCTGCAGAATTTGTTAGCACTTAAAAGAGTCACAGGGGACTCGCGCGTCTCATCTAATAAGACGGTACGCTCGTTCCCCTTGGCATCAAGTACCACGAACTGATTGTCCGCCCACGTGGTCCTTAGGCAATGAGCCTTTAGCCAGCCCAAGCCAATGACCGCGTCGAAAGGACACTTATCCAAGATATAGAAATTCAGCTCATGTGTGACAGTGCGGTCTTTGTCAAAGGTGATGCGCGCACTTTTGACAGCATGAGTGGAAGTGACAACCTCTTGGTTGCCCACCTAAGTCCAGCAAGGGTTTTGCAGTTAAACTTGCTTCATACCCAGGCCCGCCTTACGAATCCCGTTTGGAGAGAAGAAATTAGTGGTCGAAACACTGTCAATCAGCACACGGATGTATCGGTGGTTAATGAACAGTTTAAAGAAAGTTAGCTCCACGCTCCCCTGAACACGGCGTTGCTGCTTGAGCTGCAGCCAATGCTCCATGTGGGCGTGGAGGTCAACTTCTCCAGACTCCTCCCAAGGCTCAGTGTATAATACTTGGACTGCACCAGCCTTGGAATCAGCATCAGTTCGGGCTTCAAGAGCAAGCTGCTGGCCAAATCCAGGCTCCTCGGAAGGGCCTGCAATTGACTGCTCAACTTCCCTTGCTGTAGAGAGTGCTGATGACTCTTCTACGCCCCTTGCCTGTTTCCCTAAAGACGATAGCAATCCTGCACAGCATGCCCAGGCTTTTGACAATGCAAGCATACGCGCAATTTGGATCTGCTTTCCCATTCCTTTTGAGTGATGCGGAGAGCTTCCCAAGGCTTGGTAGAAGCGTCCTCCGGTTTCTCAGGGATCTTAGCATTTTTGGGAAGGTGTATGACAGTTCCCTTACCTGAACCACGGTTAGGCCCCTTATTTGAAGCAGTATTTCTGAATGCATTAAGTTTCTCATCATCATTTCTGTCACACTCAATGGCTGATGTGGAACAGCCCGTATCGGAGTCCGACTCTAGATCGTCATCTAGAGACAAATCATCCGCATAGGACTGATCGTCAGCCTCCTGATGATCATGCAGTGCAAGCTGGTTGCTGCTTCCAAACCGCTTGCGTTGTGGTTTCCCACCTGCAGCGGGCGCCTTCTTGCGCCTGGCGAGGTCCTTGGCCTYTAGGTCGACTAGGTCCTTCATGAGCTCTCGCCAGGTGGCATGGTCCTCGAGTGCTAGCAGGGAGAGGTATTCTTTAGGGGCCACCCCCATGACTACATCCATACAAGATACGTCAGTCATTCCCWGATCCGGAGTGGTGAACARACCASTCAAGTGCTGTTCCAAAGCCTGCATGGATGACCTCCATGTTTGGCCCTTGAGGGCCTCAAGCTTCAGCCTAGCCTTGAGCGCAGCATGTTTATCTCAGTACCGGTCAAGGAGAAGATCCTCGAGGGCGCGGACAGGGGTGACCTTCAGCCAATCAGTCAGGTCTATGCGTTCATAGCCTGCTGCGACAACTTGGAGCTCAATGTGGTTTCGTACGGCGGGCTCAGTATTAGTCCCCATGATCATACTTCGGTCCTCTTGCGGTGTCAGCATGACCTCAAAGTACGACCTCATGAAACTAATCCAAGAGGTGATGTCTGCCTTCCCGTCGTACTTGGACGGCAGCGTGGCCGCCCGCTTATCCACCATGGGACCGCTGTATTGAACGCCAGTAGGGACTGCGGCGTTTTGGGCTGATGTCCCTGCATTCGAGACCATGACCAGCGCAGAACTGCCGGTGCTGCCGCTCGAGGAGTTGGCGCCGGTTCCTGCGCTTGCTACGGTTCCACTTGCCCTTGGCACGAGGGCTGTGTTGGCTTGAGAGGTTGGGATTATAGCAGATCGAGGGTTAGGAGGGCGTGAGGCAGACAACTGGGACTGTTCGAGGCTCATTACCTTAGCCTGCAACTCTTCGTTCCGCTGCTCAAGTGCTGTCATACGAGACTCAAGGTTTTCCAAGGTCCGCAGTCGGACCAAGGCTGCTACAGCAACAGCTAGTTCCTCCTGGAACCGGTCAGCATTGGCTTCCGGGATCCGAAGGAGAGCCACCTGATCAGCAATATCGGCGGCTCTAGCTGCTGCCGGTGCCTCCCTTTCCTCTGCACGGCATCATCATACAGCTTCTGAAAGAATGGTTTCTGGCTCTCGTCTGCTGCGTCCAGCATGGCCTGCCATTGGGCAGATGTGATGACCGCCATGCTGGAGGAAGGGGCGTCAGTAGAACTCTCAAGAGGGGTCCGCTCTCTCCTTACGTTTGAACGAACACTCCTCTTGCCCTTCCTCACACTCTCAAACAGAACACCTTCTCTCTCCCTTTCTTCTCTCTTCGCTGTCTGCGCACGCGTCTCAATACTGGACATAGATAGTTCAGGTGAAAGAAACAAACTGAAAACCACTCAGAGAAGAAGGTAGAACTCCTGGCCGGAGCGGCGAATCATTTGGACTTAGAGTGTGGCACGCAGCAGAAGAAAAAATAAATAAATAAATAAAAATAAATAGAAACAGCTGAGAGGTCTGATTTATAGAACGGGCCCGATCAGATCAGTTGGAGATCCCCTCTTGTCTAACCTGACAGGGGACATACATCACAGTAAATCAGACGAAGAAGACTTAATCTGCAGCAATGGAGATTTCGAGGGGTGCAGATGGTCGCCGAGTCAGACGCGGGGCAGTATGTGCTAACATGCGGTAAGGCTAGTCAAGATCCCCTTGAAAGGAATGCCCTTGCTGTCCGTATGTCCCCCAATTCCAGCACAACAAATAAATGCTCTGGCGGCAACAGATCTGGGCCCAAAAGGTCCTGTCCCGTTGGGCCTGGTCCCACTGGGTCCCGAGGGGTCCCAAGTAGGCCGTGGACCAGGACCAACGTGACAGGGGTGAGAAGTCGGTCCCAAACTGCCTCTACCGTATTGAAAGGAAAAGACAACTTTCAGCAAGAACTCACTTCTACAGCCGTTCATAAATGAAAAGACAATGCACCGTAGAAAGATATGTCATTTAGAGTAGATACATCATCCATCCATCCATCAGGTGAGAAAGCAATCCACAAGCTCACACACACAACCAAGACCGCAGAGAAGAGGAAGAGAACCCAGCACACCCCCAACAGGCCATGAAGCACCAAGCAACCTCCCACGGGCTTTCCCAGGTCACACGATACTTACCTGTAAGGCCCGACCTCCAAAGATGGATTACGAGTCACTCCCCTCTCATATAAGTCCCCCTGACCCCTAGCTACCACTACACGAAGTGTCCTAGCATGGCTAAGAGGGCCTTCCTACACCCCTGTTGCAAAGCCGGATCCCCCGTCGATGCCTGAAGACCAAAGTAGCAACTTGCAGCAATCCGATGCAGATATGGCAGCCTCCGATCAAGTCTCCCTCTTGAGGGGAAGCCCAAAAGTCACTCAATGTCTTCCTGAAGGTCAGATTCCAGGTGCGAGTACCTCTCACTCTCTACTCCCTCTCGCTTACTCCAAACAGCCTCCTTTGTGTCTCGCCACCCCATACATTCACTCAAGCAACCTGGTTGGGTCC